GGGGGGGGGGCAATAAAGTCCACCGCTCGTGTGAATGAGGTCTTATTTCCTGTTCTGAAACATGTCATAACAGGAAAACGATGGAAGATGCCTGAAATGGAGACAAAAAAAAGCAGTAAAAGCTTTGTAAATGCTGGAACACTTACACACTTCCTAACACCAAAAACAACAACTAGAATTTAGTTGAGCTTTAACATTTGCACAGACGACTCAGGCTACCAATAGACATAAGATAGTGGTCTAATGAAACATACCATTTCCAGTCAGAGATTCATCTAGACATTTTCTGTCATAAAATGTTCTTTGCATGTCTGTTTTTATCTTTACATAATTGAATAATCTAACGCAATATTAATTCCAATTTCCTGTACCTGTACGCATCATTCTGGCTTTGTCACATGTGCATTTTGCAAAATAACGATTCATTCTAACAAGATTGGTACTGCTTTTGAAAAGATCACTTATTCAGAAAAAAACAAATCACAAGCCTCGGAGATAAATTTTTATCCCTTTGAGTGGCCAAGTTGTCGGAAATATAATTAAATTTATATTGTGGCGTTATATCTCACAATGTGATGCCAGATTTCACCAACAGGTGGTGGTGTACGGACATTCACTTTGCAAGATAAACGTTCACATTTGAAACATATAGCTTTTATTTCCTCTGCTTGTCTAAGTTATATAAAAAAATAAACCAAAGTTTAAGGAAGATGATGCAAGTGAGAACACAAGAAAGGTGTGACCCATCTGTCTTGTGACTCTTGTGGTTGGCCTGATTGCTCAAACTAGAACAAAGTGCAAGTGCATAGTTGTCAAGGTAACAGTTGCAGGAAGTACAGGGCAAAAGCTCATTTTACTTTGCATGTGTGTTTACATTTTTTCATGTGTGCATCATCACCCCATCCACAGTCTTTCAGTTCTTGTATTGAATAGCTTGGTTGTGACATTTAGCCAAATGGTAACCATACTGTATTTGTCTTATGTGGTCAACATAGAGTACAGCTGCTCCTACCTAAATGTCTCTTTGTTATGTTGCTTGCTATTAAAAAGAAAAACAGAAACATTGGGTGTGGTATAAGCATAAAAAACCTCACTATCAGCTTGATCAAAGCAATTAAGATCTCAATTTCTAATTGTCAGCAACTTATGATTTATTTGGTAATCTTTAGTACAATGAAGGTTCTGGATGCAAAAACTTGTACAGCTGTACTAAAATTTGGTTGCTCTGTTCAAAACATTAAAGTACTCCTGGGTGTGCTGGTCCATTCACTGTTTTATCAAAATAATAATTATTAACATTTTTCCAACACCAGATAATAGGGATTCTGTTCAAATCAGGAGGAAGAGAGCTAAACATCTCACTAATCTTGCTCATTTGATCCAAAACTGAAATTCCAGCATTTGGTAGAAAAAGGCAAATTAAATCATCTACTGCATTATCTTTTGTCAAGACTACGGCATGACCTTTGTTAAGACAACTTACTTTCTCAGATTAATGTAACGTTACCGACAATGCAGCAGACTGACTGGGACTCCTACTGCAACAGGAGGTGCACACAGAAACATCAATGACAAATGGCCCCTGTAGAAATTCAGTGATGGCAGGGAGAGGAAACAAATAGGGTAAATGGGGGAATATTGGTGAGAATAGTAATATCTCTTGTTTTAGCCAAGAAGATTACAGGAAAGAGGTTTCGTAAAGGCAGTGGTTGATCACAGCTCCACAGAGAAAGCTGCTGGGCAAGGATGAATCCTAGTGTAATTTTTGACCAGTTCGAAAAGGCTGGTCTGTATCTCAATTATTCAAGCTGAGAACAGAGACATGGTTGCTGGCTTTGTCTGAAGTGGGTAAAAGTATCTTAAAGAGGAAACCTTGCCTGGACCAATCACTCTTTGGTGGAAAAAGCAGTAGAACATAATTGATAGGTCTAGCAGGGGACCATCACGTTGTCACTTAGTAAAGGCCCTCAATGTGCATTAAAGGCCGAGCTCCTGAAATAGGGCTGTGGCAGTAGATTGGAGATCCGTGATAATTTCGAGAAGGCCTCTGATTCAGAGGTTTGATCATCAAACACAGTTTTCTGCACCCTTCAGCTTATAATGTAGGGCTTGGTTCTAAGATTTGATGGTGTCTATTTCATCTTAATGTCATTCTAACACAGTGGTTGCACCATCCATGCGGCCTTCCAGTGCTGCAGTGTGATGGCCAAATTTTTTGATCTCTCATGGTAGGTGGTCTGTAATCCACTTCAAATTTATACAAGGTCATAGGATTCTCCTGTGTTTTGTTCAAGGTATTGGAGGAAGGGTGGAGATTTGTCAGGAGATAAGTATTGGTGGCTCAGTGCAGTGGGTGTTGGTCTCGCTGCTGATGCCCATGGTCTCCAAGGTATCTGGAGAGTGTAGGGATAGATTGTGGGACACACAGGTGTTATCGCCCCGGCTGGATCACTCAACTGATTGCTCTCGGGTGGTGCAGAGCCAAGTTAAGCCGCATCCATAACTAGACCTGCTAATGTGCAACTCCCCTCCCTACACTTTTTTATTTAGTTGCACAGTAGTGATTGGAGAGTGAATCTCCTCCAATTTGCTGACACCTTTTCTTTTTCTGACCCATACTGCCAGCAGCAGGGTGAACAAGCACCTCATCTTGCTTGACCACCACACTGCCACCACTGCAACCATCCCCATGTCTGCAACTCACTTGGCCACATAACATAGCATGGGTCCATGCGTCACCCTCCTTCTTTAGTCTAGTAAATACAGATACATTTTGGGGCATGCTGAAAATGTAGCCTGGCCTTCCATAGTGCATGGCTATCTTTTCTTTTACTGTTTATTGTTGGAACTACCAGACCTTTCAAGGCAATCTCTCCCTTAAGCTCAGTATTGCAGACTTCAAAAACATGGGGACTGCATAAACTGCACTGTACATGTGCAGACCAAAAGTCATTTTACTCATCAATCCTTTGCAGGTATGATCTACACTGCTACAGAACACTTAGCAATGCACATGGCCGAAGGCACACTTTACGAAGTTCAATTGCCAAAAATAACTTTATTTAATTTAACTTCCCGAGTACATTTTAGACATCCAGTGCTCCAAACCTATTTAGCTCTGCCCACCTAAAATATTTAAACAGAATTATTTGCAGATGCAATCTGTATATTGGACTGAAACTAAAGGGAAACCCACACTGAATTCTTCTTGCTTTTTTATTAGTATTTGCCTTTTACAATAACTGTAGGGAATCAGGCTATATAAGCTATAAGAGAGTACAAATATTAATAAGAATGTACAAAGGACAATATATCATAGCAGCCAATAACATTTTAGTCTACTGGCTGCTGTGGAAAACTGCACTTTGCACACTACAGTCACTCAATGCTTTCATTTCAGGAACAAGCCTAAAAAATATGTCAGTTCACACCTTATAAAAAGCATTGCCACTTGTTACCAGGAGGACTGGGATCTGCAAAATGGTTATGCTTGTATATACAGTATACCCATGGACCTTTTTTATACTGGCTCGTTACACATTAATCTTACCGGATTGATATCCATGAATGTTTCATGGTCATCTTGGTTAGGACTTATTCCTTCTATGCTCTTAACTATGGATTCATCCGCTTGGTAGAAATGAGGAGATGAGAGAATGATGGGGGCGCCTGTGAATCAGATTTTTCAACAAAAAAAATAATGAATATACAAGTACAGTATGCAACAATTCATAAGTGCTTGTTTTTGTTTTTTTTAAAGTGACCCTGTCAAATCTTCCCAACAGCAAGTCCATGAACATTTTTTGTTTACCTCTCCAGCAGCCTGTGTCTCCTACCTCCCCTACATTTAAGTGCTGAAGTCTCATTCTGTCTGGCATTTGATGGTTTAGGAGTGTCTGATGCCCGTGTCCTCTGCCATACATGTTCCATCCTCAGAAACCTACACCATTGCTGAATCCTGTAATGATGTTGGGGTTGGATAATGGAACTACATGGTGAAGCAGAGGACATAGGCATCCAACACTCTGGAAACTGTTGAATGTTGAAGAGTCTTTTAGAGGTTACAGGGCTAGGAAGAAGGAAAGGTAGGAGACATGGGTTTCTGGAAAGGGGAATATAAGCAGTCTTCGATTACAGGGACCTGCCGTTACAAAACTTTTTAAAAACCCGACAGGGTCGCTTCAAAGGAATCTTGTCATGATGGAAACATAGAGGTTGACATTTCTGACCATTCATTTTAGAAACGCTAGTTGCCTGGCTGTCATCCTGGCCCTCTTGCTTTTAAAGAACACACCTTTAGAAATGTTTAATAATGACAATCTACAAACACATACATATAGATATTTGCAGGCTTTAATTTTTTTTACATACCTTATTTTTATTTTCTTCCCCATTCTTCTCACAGTGGCTATTTTTACTAAGGGCAGGTTACTAGATCTCCCTTTACTTCCTGGAACTCTAGGACATATGACCATGCACATCATGTCAGGGGAGGAAAATGCCTTTACCAGAGATCTCATGAGATTACAGATGAGATTTCCCAGCAATGTTTGCTGATGTATTCTACCCAGGACTTATTCCTACTATGCTTGGGCATGATTACATCATTTGTGCCAAAGTGAACCAGGAAGTGGAAAAAAAGAAATTGTAAGTAAAATAAAAATATGTTTTTTTAGTCAAAGGGGGTAAAGGTCCACTTTAATACTTTGAGTCACGAACCCAAGACGAGTATGCAAATAAGATGTTCTGACATTTCCAATGTTAATACTTGTTCCAGGCAGTGACACAAAAATGTACTGAAACCAGTGAGTCAGCATAACAGGCAAGCAACTAGCATTTTCATATGGACATCAGCAAAGGAAGTCACTGCTTTTTTCTCATTATGGATTATTATGAACTTTACCCAAATCGAGTGCTAAGCTGGTGTGTCACCCTATTTGCTCACATATTCCCATTGCAAACTGAACAAGGAGCAGCTGACAGCAGCTGTCCTCTCACCCCATACGATTGTTTACATCATCTGTTTCCTGACAGAAAGCAGAGCTCATCCTTCCTGTGCCTAATAATATATCTAATTTCTGAATGCTGCAATATTTTACATTTCTTTATTGATGCGGTTTAATAATAATAGGACTACAAACATGTCACAGAACGTAGGCACATAGATGAAAGCATCACCATCATCTGACTGTCCTCCGGGTGGGAACACCATGCAGCAGGGAGAGGCGGCAGGCTCTGTATTCAGGTGGCTGCTCGCTGGGGCCTCCCGGCCGAGACCCCAGCGTTGCCCCATAGTGTGCCTGCAGGCTGCTCTGCAGTACAATTATGTACTTTCGCCTCCTGTCTCCCTCCAGGGCCTCTCCCGCCTCCTTATTTACTGCAGGACGGCCGGCGCCTGGTGCCCACTTTCTCTTCCCCCATCCTGCCACAGGACTCGTGCCTGACTCACCCTCACTTTATTTCCACTCGCCAAAATGTGAGCAGGCGAGTGGAAATTTTGAGCCCTGTGCTAAGGAAGCACTAACAGACACTTGAAGAGTTGAACATCAGAAGGATTGATTGATTGATTGATTGATGGGATTTTCCAACATACTTTGAAATATTTGAATGATCTTGTCACAAAATCACTCATTTAGGGTGTGCACCATAAGAGTATTCATTTGAAATTACATTTTCTGATTCTAGTAAGAAAGTGCAACCTCTGGATCTTTTGTAGCAAATTACCAATTAGTTGCCCATATACTGTATGGGGAATTTATCAAACCTGGAGCAGCTGTGCATGGCAACCAATCATCATCTCTCTTTTCAAACTTCAACTGAACAAACTGAAAAGAGAAGCTGATTGGTTGTTCTGGGCAACTGCTCCCGATTTTGTCCGCTCCAGTTTTGATAAATTCCCCTCTGTATGTTTCTGAGATCACTGTTTCAGTGGAATGCATACTGTCTGCAGCTTCCATTATCTTAACATGCAGTAGAATCACATACCTTGCTTGCATTCACTGACATTCAGTAGTCCTGATGGCAGGCAGTTCCCCGCAGGAACACAGAAACCAGCATTGTCAGGATTGATAGTTACATTAGCAAAAACCTTTGCTGGTGGGATGAAACGGAAGGCTGCAATTTCCTTTACAGTTTTTGTGGAGTTATAAACCGCGTACAAAGACCTGGGGAAAAAAGTAATTGTTGAATATGAAATATAACTAAAGGACAGTCTGCATTTAAAGTTGTTCTCTAGATAGATATAGGAAACTAAATCTAAATCACAGTTATGCATTTATTAAGATGAATGACATTCTTTTAAATCCACTAGTTGCATAACTGGAACCTTTTATACAGGTTTTACATTATCCCCTGCATAGCAGGACTCAGACTAGGCAAAGGGGGCTGGCGGTGTAAGGGCTCATGACGACAGGCATTGCTTTTCTTTTTCGTTCTCTAGTCTCATACCGCAACCCACCTAGAGTGACTTGGTCACCTCCAGGCATCTGCGACCCTCAACAGCACCAATTGCTTCGTTTGTGAGTTCAGGAGGCCTTGATTTGTTTTTTTGTTTGGATGGTTGGTTGCACCTCCACATCACTGATTGTAGTCCATAACTCCTTCAGATAGCAAATTTTCCCCTTACTGTTCTTTATCTGTCCTGGTCTGGCTCACTAGTTCGATTCTTGCTACCCTCCTTTTGGGCATGCCAAGTTTCATTTTTGGTTGTCCCTTCTATATCTAGCATTTGTTTAGGTGTCGTCTCCTTCAGATACTGTTCGTAGTATGATCTCTACATCTATTGAGACTCTAAGTGGTATTGCCCACCCTTCAGTTGGACAGCTTTTGGACATTTGGACTGTTTAGGATTATTTTTGAGTTCAGTTTCCTATATGTACAACTAAAGGCTCCTGTATGTCATTCTAAACAAGTATGAGATCCAGTCACTATGTGATCTAAGATAAATTAAACAAATTCCTTTCCCTGACTGAGCCAATATGCCTTCTGAGCAAGAGGTGATGCTATTAAATCAGAAAGCAGCGGACAGGACTAGGCGGGGCCAAGTGCTGAGTGACAAGCTACAGGCTTGTAAATCAGCAGTGACAACCACGATAGCCCTGCTGGCAAAATCAAAAGGTATCTGTGGGACTTTGCAGACGGACTAAGAGAAAATTGTGTTAACGTCAGGCATGGTGATCACCTTTGGGCTTTCAGTTTATAACATCCCCTCAACTCAGAGCAAGTGGGGTTGTAGTAAAAATATCTTAAAGGGCAACTCAAAAGGCTACATTATAAAGAACTGTATCTTGCAAGATTTTAATAAATGTTTCCTCCTTACCTGCACAGGTCTGATGAAAACATGTAAATAATATCATCTTTATTTATCAGTGGGTGAAAAGATGTCCCGTCTGTCCCATTAATCATATTGCATCGGTCTGAAGTCCACCATGAAAGATTTCTGGAAGTAAAAAAGCAAACTGTTCAATAAATCTGTAAACACAGATTGTCAAGCCAATGCATGATATTAGTTGTATTTTTGACAACTAACTTTATACTGCAGGTAACTCGATCATTTAATCTAGCTACAATTGCTGGTCATGAGATCGAAACTGTGGCAACAATCAACTACGTTAACTGGTATCTTCATGCCAGCATCGCCATGATGCACAGTATGCATTTGCTCATAGGATACTCTTAGTATCAGCTTAGTTGTCTATAGGGTCAAGTCACCAAGCTAAGTTATTTGAACTGCATTCTTTATTCCATCACATACAAAATATTGCATAGGTGTGGAATTGTACTTTTTTCCCCACATGTATTCAACCCAAATCAATATTAATCCACTTACAGCTTATTTTCATGAACTGCATTTTATCTTGCAAAGCATAGTTTTTCTCCTCCACAATGGTTCCATTTAAAGGAGAACTATGGGGTCAGTGTTTTTCCCCATAGTTCTCCTTAGGGTAACGGGAGGACACAAACTAGCGTCCTCCCGTTACCCTAAGCTCAGGATACCGTGAGCTACAGCTCGCGGTATACTGAGACGCCGCAGCCGGAGCGGATCCCGACATGGAAGTCGGGATCCGCCCAGCTGCGTGAGTGACAGCTGGCTCTGCCTATCTAGAGGCAGAGCCAGATGTACCCACCCCCTCCCCCATCCGTTCCGCCAGTCAGCGCTGGCAGATCGGAGCGGGGAGAGGGGAATCCAGCCCCTCCCCCTGTCACGGCAGAGAGCCGTGACAGGATTGAGAGGTGAGCGAACACGGTATACTGAGCCGACCTGTGACAGTCTAATTGTCACAGGTCGGCTAGAACTATGAGGTGAGTGGAAACCACTCATCTCATAGTTCTCCTTTAATGCGCTCCTCAATAACACTGTCACAAAACATCACAATTCGGGATGCAATGAAATTTTGGCCACCAAAACATTTCAGCCGAAAATGGTACCATAGGCAAAATGCTGATAGTACCAAAACTGCCAAAAATTCAGCTAAAAATTCAGTATATCCCTATATTCTCTCCTCCCCACTGGAGACAGTCTGTGACAGACTGGCACCCAGCAGGGAGGACAGAAGCTGTCAGGATGCCGAGCAGGGTGGTGCAGTTATGAGACAGCTGTCATCTGTAACAGGAGGCCGAGCTCTCCTACTGCACTGCCCCGCTTGGCCTCCTGTGACAGGCGAGTCAGGATGGAGAGTGGGATCAGAACTGATCGCTGAGTGTTTGTAGATAACTGAGGACATTGTATGCTATGATTGTGGACAGTAACTGATACCATCTCCACAGTTTATGAATATACAGGAGCACCCAGTATAGAGGCTTCCTGTTCATTCATAACAGGGGCAGAAAAAGACATTTTCGGTTTCGGCCTGACTAATTTTTTTTTAATTTCGGTTTCAGGTTTTAAAAAATTTACTTCAGTGCATCCCTAATTACAATTATCATTAATGTGAAGTTTGTAGTATTGCAATGACACAACCCATGTATGTAATTTTTTTTTTTGAGAATTCACTTTCACATGCAAAGAACTGCGTCTGTCGAAAACTGCCAGTAGGATTGTGTGGTAGGCATTACTTAACAGCAAGCTCTACAACAACCTGGATTTAGGGATACACGGATACCGTTTTTTCGGTATCGAGTACAAGTAAAAATATGTTTTTTTGGGTACTCGCCCATACCGAGTACCGATACCGGTGCCCCGATTATGAGGAAGCCGGGCAGCGGATCATGACTCGCCGCATGGCTTCCTAATTGGCTAGAAAGCCTGTGTTCTATCGAAAGAACACCGGCTTTACTTGCCAAGGCTGCCTGGCTTCCTGACCAATTAGGGCATGAGGTGCTGTCCGGGTTCCCGATTGGCTAGGAAGCCAGCTTCACTTGTTGATAGGCAGCCAATTTCATGACCGGCCTCCCGGCTTCCTGATTGGCTAGGAAGCTGGCTTCACCTGTTAGGCAACCTGGCTTTCTGACCAATAAGGAAGCCGGGAGGTGGGTCATTACCTGCTGCCCAGCTTCCTGATTGGTTAGAAAGCCAGGCTGCCTAGCATCAAGTGAAGTCGGCTTCCTAGCCAATCAGGAAGCCGGGAGGAGGGTCATAAACCACTCCCTCTGACTGGAAGTTCTGGTATTGGAGTTAGGTATCGGAGCATTTGGGCAAGTATATGTACTCGCTCAAATAATTGCTAACGGTGCATCCCTACCTGAAAGCATACAGATGCGGTCGCTATCACTCTGTCATTTACTTCAATGTGTACAGTGGCCTCATTTGAACCGGACAGGCAGGAATCTTGCCAGGGGAATCGCAGCATACCCTGTGTGAATGGAGCCTAATCCTAAAAACAAATTTACCCACTGTTGATTGGGTCAAGAAAGATTTCCTCTGCAACATGTAGATACACTGTATTTTGTTTTGTCTTCTATTAGCTTTGGAACGGACTAAACTTTGACTCTTTTAGATTATTCAGTAGATGAAACCAACAAAGAGGACAAAAAGGTACAATGTTTCATAACCTGGGTTGTGCCTAGATCTAAGTACATATTCTATGCATGGATCTAATTTCACATGCATACTTTTGTCCCTTTTAAACTTCATTTATAACCACTGTGATATTGTGACAAATAAGTACATGATAGATACTGATACATATAGAAATATTTGTACATGTTATTGTACCTAAGTTTTCTAGATGACTTATTTTTCCAACATTGGTTTAGCAGACCTACAATCTTTTAAGTGGGCCAATGGTATAGCTATAATATATAGGTTGGATATCCGGAAACAATTATAAAGCATTATAGTAGACATGCACAGATCCCAAGGTGTCGTACTCGGTACAAGTACGGATACTTTTCAGCTCCAGGACTAGACTAGCGAAAAGCTCAAAAGTTAGGAGGCAGCTGTCATTTATAAGCAGCATTGGCTATGGGGCTCCTGGGATTTGTGCATCCCTGTTTTCATGTATGATTTGTTTTATATAGATATATATTAGGGAAGCACCTATACCATTTTTTCCAGACCAAGTACTGACAGATACAATTACAGATACATTTTTGTTAAGTGTCATGGGACAGGCATTCTAAAACAAAAAAAAACTAATGATTTCAGGACAGTGGTGGAGCGCCAGGGCCCTGTCTCAGCTGCTGCGACCCTGGTAGTTCTCAAGAAAATGCCAAGTATCGGCACTGGTATCTGACCATCCCTACATTATAGTGCATCTAAACTCTAAATCTGTTTTTAGTATGTTTGGCATCATACATCACTGTATACAAATAAAAAGTGACCCTGTTACTGGGTCTACAAAATAACAAACACACTAGTTCGTAAGCAAGACAGTTTTATACATACCCTGTCAGCCGACCTGTGTGCCTAAACTTCACGCTGTAGAAGAGCTACTGACACTGATCCAATTTGACTCCTCAAGCTGGCCGAATAGCATGTCCTCTCTGGCCGCTGTGGTTCTTTCTGTTGCCCCCTAGCCACTGCAGGACACAATAGTGATGTGTAGGGGTCATGGGGAGGAACCACAGTGGCCAGAGGGAGACATGCTATTCTACACATTGGAATTTGCAGAGCTGGAATTTCTGCTACAGCCTAAAACTTTACCCCTGACATTGTCACTTTAAGATAATTTTTTTTGTGACTCTGTTGCAAAGTGTCCTATCTGAAGATCCTGCCAATAGCAGCACTCCCTGTTGCAGGCTGACACCACAATGTCACTGCTTTGCAGCAGCCATTGTACGCCTGCTACATCAACTACAAACAACTTAATTAACAGCTCACCGTATACAAAGCATAACTGAAATTCCTTTTCTATCACAGCAGCTAAACATTGTATCAGTTATTATTAGAATAATGCGGAACTGGAAACATACACATTTGACTGTTGCAAGTGATGGTAACATTTTTGAAGCCAATATTGGAATGCGCACAGGCAACCTTATGTTTTTGTTCAAAAAGGAAGATTATAAAAATGATTAAGGGTTGTTTCTTAGTCATATTTAGTCACGAAAAAAAAAATCAGTCCTTGTCGACAGATGTCTCAACAGTAACTATAAGATCACACATTTTGTATCAAGTGTATGACACTGGAACAGGACAGCAACTGACTTTAAACTTACTGGTGTTTAAAATTGGACAAACACTTATGAGAAAAGCAAATTTGTGAAATCACATTAGCCATTTCATTAATCAGTAAATACCTTTTACCATTCCATTCCACAATCTGAGTAAAGTCCTTGTATTCCTTTGACCCACTGAGAAACACATATGTCCCATCATTTGTTGTGTTCATCTACAAAGGAACACCAAAACGCAATAATGTTAACAGCTGGAGGGCGTATAGAGCATACACTATTGTTTGAAATAAATACTTCTAGGAAGTGATTTATAAAAGAAATTGCAAGGCTGTTTGCTCTGTGAATATCAGTGAACATTAACCCTCTGTAAATATATGCACAAACAAATGTTCTTTCGTTTTTTCATATGTAATTAAATGTCAAATCGAATGTTCTGATGATAATATTGTATTATGGCCACTAGATGGAGCGGAGGAGCATAAAAATATAGCCTTATTTTCTTTGCTCCTTTAGAACCATCTAGTAACTATAATGCACTATTACAATCAGAACATTAAAATTTAATTAAATTTTTAAAGGAAAAAATTGTTCGTTTGTATAAATCGCACGGGACAAACATTTTAGAGATATTCCCATGGCAAACTGCCCTGCAAACTGTTTATAGATCAACCCCCTAAAATTCCCCACAACTGGTACAGGTTCTCCTCCCATTTTCTAGCTTAATCAATACATAACTATGAAGTCCTAATGAACAAGATAGCAATTTTTAACAAATATGAATTTACCACTTTCAATAAATATGGATAATGACTACAACTGTATTTGTTATTAAAATTATTCAAGTAAAAGTATCCAACTGCAAAGCTCTGTGAAATTCATTGAATCTATAAGCTGCATTTGCCTACATACTGTATGTACAGAATGCATGTAGGAGACCCGGATAGAACTAAAATTGTTACAGGCTGGTTCTTGTGGGTTAATACAACAGAGTTATTTTAAGTCATTGAAAGAAGTACATTTTACACTTGTGTGTTCACTATAACACCTTATCATGTACAGAGTATGAGTCCTTTGCACCATTGGATGATTTAAGTGATTACGGCCGCACAGAGCTACATTAAAAGTGTAATCCTTCAATGAATCAATTAACCTCACAGTATGCATCCCTGTGCCTGTGTCATGTTTTATCTATATGCCATTTTACTACCATACTTTAGGATCTAGGTAATACTTTATACTAGTTAATGTCTACTGCTTGTGGGTTGATGAGGGAATTTGGGAAGCTGAGCTGTGATTTGAGAGGTCAATAGATAAATTTAAGCCTAACTCCCTGCACAGTAAAAGTCATGCGGCGCAGTTATACATGCCCTCTAAGCACTGGAAAACTAGTGGGGAACAATAGTGTGTTTGGATAAAACATTTGCCGTTCTAGAATGTATATTGTTTTATAACTCTCAAATACATTACATTTTATAGTTTTATGAAAATCTGATTGTTTATTTATTTTTATGCACAAAAACTTACATTGTAGAACAACCCAAACATCTCATCGACGCTGGAGTCCACTTTATGCACCAAGGTAAGAAGTGGATCTTTGTATCCCCATAGCATCTCATGGACAGTACGAGTGGTGAACATTCCTTCATTGTAAGTCTTCAGTGCTGCTTCAATTATAGGTCTTAAAATCCCAGCTATTTTGCTCTTTAGAACCTTCTCCAGCAGTGTCTAAAGTAGTAAAGACCAATGCAGTTATTAGAGAATGTTTGCAAATCATATTTTCTTATACACTGAAATCCCCCAAAGATGAAAGGTTTTTTTTGATATACAGGTGTGTTTTTTTTTCACCTAGAATGCATATGTACTGGAGTTGTTTGAACATTTTCTTAAGTGTCATGTATTACTTTACTGTGATTAAGTGTATGGGTTTTTAGAGTTGAGCAGACCGCTTATAGTATGAAGGGAATAACAGAAGTGTTAAGGTGCTCATACACTGTTCGAATTTCAGCTGGTTTTTAAGGGAACCAATGTATACAATACAATTAATTGAATGTAAACAGTGGGATTCCTCAATCAAACCGCTGTTAATATTGATGGTGGAATTGGGTCTATTTTTTTTTTCAGCCCCAGGGTTGTGCGAGAATGGTTACATGTCCTTATTCAGCCACTATATCACTGCATCTTGCATCTGGCAATTTGATGTTCAAACAGATATCTCTCAGCCTCAACACACAAGTTCATTATCTGCTGATAATTGGCTTATATTCAAACATCTTTAGTATCAAAAACTGCAGCAATGGAGGAAGATTTCAACAAAGCTGGGAAGGGTAAGACCTTCTGTCAGGTTTTATTGCCATAATGAAAAGTGTGAAAAAATTCTCACTGTATTGTACAGAATAAAAATAAACTAATAAGTCCTGCATTTATATAAATGCACAATTAATGGTGTTCTGGTCTATAGTGGAAACATCATATATACTGTACATATAGTACATATATAACAAGTTGTATGAATAAGTAACATATGGAACATTTAGCTTTGCAGGTTGAGGTAACTGGAGTTCATGTAGGACATTTAGGCCTTATAGGTCGAAGTAATAAGGGTCCAAAGACAGAAAGTCATAAAAGAGTTTTCTGTCCTTGTCCTAATAAGCAATACGTTCAATGCCAAGACAGCTGTCCTCTAACCTTGATGTGAGGGAGTCTTCTCAAGACAAGAAGGCCCATCTAATGTTCTTGCCACAATCTAGGGTGGCATTATTATCTGATTTTTGGAGATAATTCAAGGTAACACAAATGGTTTTAAAGTTCAAACCCCTATAAAAAGGGCCTGCAAGCCTATATTAATTAAATACACCTGAAGTGCTGATTGTTCCCAGCCGGAAAATAAACCTATTTTTGAAGATCTGCTTGGTGCCTTTCCTTCGTTTATTCTGCTTCAAATCTCGTTTTCAAGTTGCTGCCATAAAGCTGTGCAGTGGCAGACCTAATAACCAAAGGGCCCTGGTGCAAGATTATATCTTGGGCCCCCCTTCCAAGACGGACGGACGGGAGGGCGTTGGTGGTGTCACGGGAGCGGATCACACTGGCCACAGAACCCCCCCCAGCGGTCTCTAATGTTGCAGTAGCGTGCTGGACTCTGGACTTACCTGAGACCCTGCAGAGCACACCGTATATCCTACATAGCCCACCTGAGACTCTCTATGGTGGGCTCTGCAGTGTCCCAGGTGGGCTGGTCATCGGGGTCCCTTTCCCCTTACCTCCTCCCAACGATTCTTACCTGCTGCTGCTGGGGCCCAGCCTCCTCCACCCCCTCCCCTGTCACCTCTGCCATGCTGGTACAGCTGATACCCATGTAAGGGGCCCCCCAGACCCCTCACATGGGTGTCGGCCATACCCCCCTGATGGCGGTGTTCTATCAAAGGTTGTGACTATTTTAGTATGTGTGACGTCACACGTTTTAACGTAATCCCGCCCAGTTTTTCGGCGGTGGAAATCTTCCCTGCGCTCCTGGATCTCTCAAATGCAGGGGGAAGTGATGTCAAGTAAGGTTAGAAAGCTCAAGGGCAAAATGGCCACTGCATCTTCCAGCCCAGCTACAAGTAGGCTGAATAGCAGCCCTACCAACCACAGAACCCAAAAGGGAGAAATACATAGGAATGGCCAGGGCCCACCCCCCCAAAGAATCAATACATACCAGCAGGAAGGAGTCTAGATCTCTGAACCGCTGCTCCATGCATGAACACTGCAGCATGTTCATCGGGGAAAATGGCCGGCTGCTTCTGGCCTGTATGGGAACACTGTGATTGGTTGGTCAGAGTCTGGCCAGTCAATATGTGTTCCACAAGGTAAGACTTACAGACTGCTCTGAGAGGTAAGTAGAGCTAGAAACTGCATGCGCTTGATGGCTGGCGAGACTACTGGATTATCCAGCCTGTCACTCAGCCAGATGTTGATTAACGTATTTTGCAGCCAAACCAGCTTTGGCAAGGAACTGCATGTGCTCAGTAGCTAGTCTGGGAAAACTACAAGGATTTCAATCATCCCGCCTGTCTTCCAGTCAGTTGTTGATTAAAGAAATCCACTGATCAGTTGGAGAAATAAAAACCTAACTAGCAGAAAAAAAAGGAATACGTTTAGATCCTAGGCAAAAAACTGAGCAGCCTCTAACAGATCGGCAGTTTGACCACCAGCAGGGGCCACCCCTGGGATACTTGTGTTTTTGTGCCTAGCATCTTACTCTTGCAAGTAGTATTTTAACCCAACGGTCAAGATCTAAAAATCTCCACAGTGTCCCTCAATGAATGGAAGAGAAAACATTTTTTTTTCCTCCATCCAAAACTGGAAACAAAAAGTTTGGGCTTTTAGCCTCATAAAAGCGTTTAAAGTCTTTGACTTGTGTATGACTGTTAAGAAACAAACAATAAGTGCCTTTTGAAAGAAAAAGTTGAAATTCTGACATTGCTGTTGATTTGTTATGTTCACTAACAAAAGTGCTTAGCAGAGTGTGTTTTCCACTGACATGATCTAAAAATTCATTCTGTACTTCATTTGTATGTTATGTACATGTTATATGTTATAGATTAAAATCTTACCACAACAGGAATATTGACAGTTCGGACAAAGTCAGTCATCGGGTTTCCCTTAGATAGATCCGCCTCAAATACATACGTTTTTGGGGTAACAGCTGACACTTCAGTTCCATTTTCAAGAAACTCAATATTTTCTTTAGGTCTGTACTCCCTGAAATAAAAGAGATTGAAGAAAACACACAATTCTTCATTACAAAATCGAACAGCACAAATATATATATAGATATTTTTTCCAGGGACATCAAGTGAATATAAGTATAGACGGCTAAACACCTGTATAAGGATTTCAATGCATAGCCAGTGGGCTTATTGACTTTAGGTCCATGATAGGACTACCTATTGTTCTTGCACTCATTGCTTTGTACATGGATGTGCAATTTAGGTTAATGGCTGTAGTTTTACGGTCTGTTTTCAAGCCGTTCAAAAGTATGGACACATAGCTTTTAGGGCCTGCAAACTACTTTATGTGATTTGTTTGGGACAGACTACTCGGCTTTCTTGCATATGAATGAAACACTACCATGAGCGAGAATTGAAAATGTTATA